CTGATCAGATCTGTGGAGAGTCACCCCTATTCACAGAAGGGATGATTTTTGTATTTTTGAGCAACAGAAACATCTATAATGAATAAACGCAAGATAGACAGAACAAGCAGGCAAAAGCAATAACATTTCCATGGAGACAAGTAGATGATGGACCCTCCACCAGAAAAGTTGCACAATGCACCTTTAAAATGTAGTTACGGCCTTTACACTGACAAGGTACAAACTCTTTATACCATGTGTTGTATTGTATTTTTATATAGGTTTTTCTTGGGTAATAACTAAAACTGAAAGTCCTGACAGGCTCATTGTTACTAAGATTTGTGGGAAACCAACTGCCTGATACGCTTAATGCTCTATCATGGTGCATTTTCAAGACCAAAAAGCAAATAGTAGAGATGGGAGAATTATAAGGAAATTACTCCAAGACTCAATCTCAGACAGTTGTTTCAGTGTCACGATGCAATATCGCAGTGGCAGTAAGGACTGGGTGGGTGACTTGAAATCAGATGCTGCCCTCTTAACAGGATCATATTTAAGCTTTAGTTAAAAACCTTGATCTAGTGAGGCATTTTTGTTTACTATATAATTTTATTTCCCGGTAGTGCATGAGCAGCTGGTGTGACATAAATAGAGGCTGAGAACAATGGAGTAAAAACCCAAAACAAGTCTTGCAAGTAAACAAGATCAGAGCAAGTTTCAAGTTAACTCCTCCCTTGGGGCAAGGCTATTGCTCCCTTCCCATAAGGCAGTATTAAGTCTAGCTTCACAGGCTTCAGATTGAAAATGACTTCTGGTTGAAATGTCTCATTTAATGACTACTTTTGAAACTATTTCTACCATGGACCACTCCTTGACAAATGAGGCATTATACCGACCTGCAACCATACTGTACGCAAGGGCCAAACCTCACCTACTTTACCAAAATAATATTTGGCAAATCTAATCCATCTTTATTTTATAAACAGGTTTTTAAACAGTTACAAGAATTTGTTCCTTGCACATATTTCATTTCTACTATAATTCTGTTCTGAGTAGATGAACTGCTGTTCCTGGTTCATGTCTTTTGTTGATTATATAATTTTGCCTGTCCACACAATACCTTTCTTTGAAAACAAAAGATAAATAAAGACCTCTTCAGTTAACCGAGTTTATAGTTAGAGTCATAATATAGTATAATAAAGACTGGATGTGTGATGATGTCACAGATAAAAGCGAAGCTGCCAACAGTGTGACTAAGGAGTGACTAAGAGTGCAGTCACAATTTCCCAGTGTGGTTTTGATTTAAACCCTGACTGAGTCTTGCCTTCATTAGATTGAGTCTTAATGTTGGTTTCATGAGTTCTTGCTCTAGTTCTGGTTTAGGTCAGGCAACTAGTCAACATTTAGTCATACAATTATGTGGTGTGGTTATGTTGCACAAGTGTGAATTCAACGAAACTTAAATGACTCAATAGTTTCAATAAAAATGATTTCAGTTGTCATATTTGAAAGTACATATGTCATGCTGAGACCCAGAAGTCAGAAGCTACAGAGTTTATTCACTTGCAGTGACTACTATCATTATTCACTCAACATAAATCTAAAGTTAGAATACGCCTAACATATTTAAGGATGGGCTGCTTTGATGCTCTTCCATACACATGCATAACCTCATTAAAATATCATCACACCATCTCTGTATTTATCTCCACTTCAGCCCCTTGTGGTTTACATTGATGTCAAACTGTGGCCAAGTTTGCTCCTATAATGTGCTATGTTGTTTTTTTCTCGTGTATGCTGTTCAGGGAGAGTGAAAACATCTGATTTTGATGTTTGAAGTTGTGAGAGAAATTTCTCAGCTGCCACATTTCAAGATCTGAGTGAGATGAGATTATCATAAATTAAGTTGTAAATATTGTGTACATCCCATTAAGGCTTTTAATTCTTGGTGTGTTGATTACTGTTAGTCAAATAAAAAGGGGGTGTGGCAAAAGCTGTCAAAACTATTATATAACTCTATGTATCTGACCTAAACTACACTCACAAGGGAGTTTACAGGAGTTCACACCTGCATGGGAGTTCAACAACTCATTTATACAGAAAAGGTACTAGAATCTGCCTTTTTACATATAAATACCAGAAAATTATATTTTCTTCTTTGCAGAAAACATCTATTAAATAATGTTATAATTGCACCAGCTCCAACTACACTTTCAATTTGACTGTGATATAATTTTCTGCCCTACTCACAATTCAAACATATAGCCAGGAGTAAAAGTTGTAAAATACTTTACTGTAATTTAATTTAATTTACTTTTTAGGTATTTGTACTTTCTATTCCACTACATTTTTGAACAGACTTGCTGAAAAGGCTGTTTTTTTTTTTTTAACATGTTAACATGTTCATCCTTTGAGCTAAGAAAAATATAACATCAATAAACAAAAACAGCTTGACTCAAGTGTTTCTTTTGAACAAAATTCTGCACAATTCTACATCACTACATTTGAAGCTTTAGATCTCAAAATCTAAACGAAATACTTTAATTTTTTACTCTTTCAGTACGTTCTACTTACTTGGGTACTGTAATACTTTTTGTTTAAGTAAATTTTTTCATGTTTTTACTTGGGTATTTCTTTGCTCTGTTGTCTGTGCTTTTACTTAAGTAATAAAATCGAGTACTTCTTCCAGCACTGCCATAGCCACAGTATTGTCCAAAGCTTTGTGTATTTGTGGGATATGTGGTTGGCTAGCCTTTCTTCCAGTGTTTGGAAAATGGTTGAGCACTATAAAAATCAATCTTCCATCTCCATTTACTTGAGCTGCCGAAAATCACAGTGCATTTTATAGATCCAAACTCAAGAATCCTGCACCTGCTTTTTGATCTTTTGTTGTACACCTTGTTCTGCCTTTGTAAAATACATTTGGACATGTTGACGTTTCAGCTTTAGAAATGGAAAAAATTATAATTGCTGGAAGCAGTTCAGAGTGAAGTCTTTTGAAATTAGCAGCATGGGTCTTCTCAACATGAACCCAAAGAATGCAAGAACAAACTTTGAAGTGAGATATATTGCCCTATGTGATAAAATAATATCATAAACTATAGCAAATCACTGATAAAAAGGACTGACTTGATAACTAACTAAAGTAAATCATGATAATCCCAGTAAGGTGATTACTGGACAATGAAACACTTCATAATTAGAAGCAATCAGTTGTACACAGTGGATTTATTTTGATTGCAAGAGCATTTTATACAATATTGCTGTACTGGGGCAAGTCAGATTTTGCTTAAATACATGGGGAAAAAATTGAATAGTGCATTTGGACAAACATGAATGTAAGAATGCTGGATTATAGCCAAAATATAATCTCCATCTCTTGTCCTTTGGGGCTGGGGTCACAAAAAGGCCAAACAATAGAACAAATACCTTTCATACAGTCAAAAGTTTAGACCCACTCTCTCATTTGGTGTTTTTTAAAATATGTTTTTACTACTTGTTGCATTTGATATACATACAGAGGGCAATAAATATATTAAGTAAGATGTACAGAATTATCTAGCAAGGAAAAAAAACATTAAATAACTTGATAACCA